GAGTCAGTTCCAATTCATAGCAACCCTGTACAGCGTTTCCGAGGCTGTAAATCTTTATGGGAGCAGAAAGCCTCATCTTTCTCCCACGGAACAGCTGGTAGTTTCGAACTGCTGACCTTGCGGTTTGCAGCCCCATTCGTATCCACTATGCTACCAGAGCTCCTTATATGCTCATATATACTCTTATTTATCATCCACTCACAGCAGCCCCGTGTGACAGAGGAGAACTGCCCACAGGGTTTTCTAGGCTGGTAGTGCTGTGGGTTAGGTATTGAGTGGCTAACTGTAAAGTTGGCAGTTTAAACCCAGCAGCCTCCCTGTGGAAGAAAGATGAAGCTGTCTGCTCTCCTGCAGACTGACGGTCTAGGAACCCTATATGGGGTTGCTGAGTCAGAACTGAGGCATGAACAGCTAAGAGTTTTTATGGGAGAAGATTGTCTGGTCTTTCCTCCATGCAGCCTAATATTTAACCCACTCACCACCAGGGTTCCTTTGCCATCAATTAGAGGCGGTGGCTGTGTGCCGTGGAGTCGGTTCCAACTCATAGCAACCCCTGTACAAGGTTTCTGAGGCTGTAAATCTTTATGGGGGCAGCAAGCCTCATCGTTTCCCCTAGGAGTGGCTGGTAGATTCCATCTGCTAACCTCATGGTTAGCAGCTCAGCACGTAACCCAGTGAGCCACCAGGGCTCCTTTGCCATCCATCAGCACAGGGTAGACTCACAGGACAGCCACTGAAGGCTGACTGTGCCCGAGCGATCCATGCGAACGCCCGAGACCCCGCGCACTGCATCCTGACCTAACCTCTCCACAGGAGGACACGGAGGGTGTCTGCATCCTGAGGTCACGCTCAGGTCACAACAACAGGCAGTTCACTGGGCGCCCACTGTCAGCGAGCATGTCTGCTCTGCCAGCCCCATTTTAAAGACAAACAAGCAAAGCCAGAGCTGGTCTCTGAGGTGTCCAGGGCCATGCAGTTCGTAAAGGGCGTCAGACGAATGCCAGCATGCCACGTTCACCTGGGTCGTGAGCCTAGGCCTCTTCTACCACACTGCGGTCAGCAACCTCTTAGGTCACGGCAGGTCCCCAGAGAAGCCCTAGTGGCGCAGTGGGTTAGCACTGGCCAGCTGACCACAGACTTGCAGGTTCAAATGCCCCACGGCTCCCTGGGAGACAGGTGAGGCTGTCTGCTCCTGTAGAGATTAACAGCTCTACTCTGGCCAGGAGGGTTGCTGTGAGTGGGGGTTGACTTCACAGCAGTGTGTCTGTCTCTCATCAGCTGCCTCTGCCTCTCCGAGGGGCCTCCCCAGGATCCCACGTGCCGTACCTGATAGTCTGAGGTCATGATCAGTCCACCTGAGGTAGTGGTCGGAGGGACAACTCTCACTTTCTTCAGCGGGGGTCCCTGCGCGTGGCCGCTGTCTTGGTTCCCTGGGTGACCGGTCCCGTTTGTGTGGTTGTTGCCTTGCTGTTGCTGCTGCTGGTTCTTCTCAATTGGTTCAAGAGAGAAACAGAGAGGCCCTCAGACGGAGAACCCAAGACACCCAGGAGGAAGGCGGCGGGTGTCGGTGGCACCACCGACGGCGCTTCAATACTTACTTTGTCTCCTTTGTCGTCGGGTTCTTCTTCTGTTAAGAACTCTCGTTTGGGATAAGGGATTTGACAACCGGCAAAAACACTGATCAGCAGATGACAAGAGACAGAGAAAATGAATTCCAGTATATTTCCAGTGCTAGCTGGAGCTGTTTTCACTTTAAGACAGACTCTGTCCCTTTATTTGAAAGAAACAGGACCGCTCATCCAAGTATGGCAAAAAACCCTCCCTCCAAACAGTGTCGCACCAGCGGGCCAGCACATAGAGACGACCACCAATCATCCTTACAGTGATGCAACAGCCTCCTCCTCCTCCCCCAACATGACTGCTCTAGCGCTCTGGTCAAGTGCCATCGAGTCACTTCCAACTCGCAGCAACCCGACATCGGGTGTCCAAGGAGTGGGTGGTGGGTTTGAACTGATCCTGCAGTTAGCAGTCCAGACTCCTTTATTACTACCACCAAAATATAGCTCCTAGATGAAATGTGTGTCCACAGCACAGACAGCTCTGCTTTACACATCAATCAAAGGTGAGAGGCAGCATGAGTGCATGGGGGGCATCTGCCATTCTGGAACCCATGATGGCACAGAGTCCAAGAAGGGCTCCAGCTGTGGGACCCACCAGTCATGGTGCTGCAATCTGTGGGGTCAGACTTGCAGAGAGTCGGGGGCGGGCAGGCGGGCAGGCAGCCTCTCGGCTGTAGTGCCCCAGGCCACGCTCAGTGGGCAGAACTCATTGGGGCTCATTTTCCCTGAGCAGAGAGGTACCTTGGGGTTGACAACCACGAGCAAGCACATTCCAGAACGTTCTGTCTGTTGGTAAGCGCATGATGGGTCACTTACTCTGAAGTGGGCAGGGGGTCTTCCAGGAAGTAGGGGTCCTGCATAGCCTGTTCGGAGGTAATACGCTTTATCGGGTCCATGGTGAGCAACTTCTGAAGCTGAAACCAGAAATCAGAAAGAGAATCTGCCGTTACGTCTCCTGTTAGCCCGGCACATGCATGGGAGGTCTATGTTGTTTCTGAATAACACCATAATTTATTCACCAAAATGAACAAAAAAATGATTAGGGGCTCAGAACCAATGACCTGTTTGTACACTGCCTCCATTGCTTTATCCAATGTAGAACAGAAATAGAACTCGTGGCTTTGGTGTTCGTACTTTATCAAGGGGAAATGGCACCAACATAAATAATATGGACACCAGTCGGGCGGCTACTTGGATTAAAGTCTGAATTCAACCAAATCTGCCTCCTGGTCACAGCAGGTCCATGCCAGAGTTCACTAGCTACCTGCCCTGCTCAGCATGACACACACAGACGCCCAGCTTCTCGTGGGCAGTGCTGTGCTAGCCTACAGACACGCGGGGGGACACAACTGGTCCAGTCCCGAGTCAGGGCTGTGAGTGGAGATAGAGGAGGCAGACCGCTTGGGTTCAAATCCTGACCTCACGTTTATCAGCTGAGTGACCCTGGACAAGTTACTTAATCTCTGTGCAACCCCATCTGTCAAAAACGGAGATTGAAAATGGTACTTTATTAGCACACATTTCATTTCAGGATTAAATGAGTTAATACATGGAAAGTGGTTATCACAGTGCCCAGTCCAAAGGAACCACCACATGAGTGGGGCTGACTGTTAGTGTCAATACTGGACTATCACCATGATGTGAGGATTCAGCAATTTCTGTTTAAACAAAGCATAGCTCCTTTTAGTGCTGCTTGTGATATGTGCTGAGATTACAGGTAGTCTGTGTTCCCAGGTGAGTCTGTAAGCTGAGTCCAGTAAGTACCAGCGGTTCTTACTTCGTGCAGGACAAGACTCGACAGCACTCCCATGACTTAAGAGCTGTGCACGTAGCAAGTGAAGAAGACGGTGATGAAGAGGGCAAAGTCGTCAAACCCAAAGCAAACCAAAGCAAAACTCACTGCCATCAAGCCAGTTCCAACTCATCGTGACCCAACGTAGTTTTTCTGAGGCTGTAAATCTTTGTGGCTGGTGAGTCTGAACCGCCAACCATGGAGTCACCAGTCCAGTGCTTACCCTACAGTGTCACCAAGGCACTAAGAATTTTGAGCTGAAACAGCCTTACCCCACTGAAAGATGGCTGTGCCCCACTCAGAGATGGTGGTGCCCCATTCAAAGATGGCAGCCAACCACACCCCTTCAGTGTGCGTCACTCTCCACAGTCCTGCCAAGAATCAGGCTCCTGAAAGGACTCACCACACCCCTTCCAAGTCTTCAGTCCAGGGTGCCCACCTTTGTTTCTCCCATCCCTGTTACTGTGACAGACCACTCAGATGGTAACACTCAGATCTGTGCCCCTGACTTCACAGACCACAACAGATCTGGTTTGAGCTGGTTTAAAGCCCTGCTTAAAGGAACACAAAGAATGCCCTGTATCTCAATTGTGGTCCCTTAGTCTCTCTACCTGTAAGCTAAGTGAAAGGGTCAAACCCACCAACTGCTCTGAGGAAGCAGTCTGCTTGTGGAAAGACGGCAGCCTTGGAAACCCTACGGCAGTTCTCCTCATATGGGGTTGCTGTCAATCAGACCAGCCTCAACAGCAGCGGTCAGTGGGACAGCTGTCCTCAAACTTCAGCGCCTATCAGTATCACTTGGCAGAGCGGGGGAGGTTGTGGAGACAGACTCCACATGGTCAACACAGCTGGTACTACAGCTGCTGGACTGGGTGTACACCATGAAATCCAGAAAGCACACACACACGGACTTCGTGGGACAGGACAAATCTTACAGGACTGAAGGACAAAGGTTACATCTGCAAGTCAAAGGCTGGGATGGGAAGATTCCAAGTGAACTTTGATGGTGGTTCAGTGCCAGAACTACATTCGTTTTAAGGTTGAAATGACTGGATTTTGTTTGTCAAAGAACCCAGCCTTTATAATGGGTTATTACAGTAGCGTTTTCAAGATGACCAGCGAAAACGACAGGTCACCCAGTAAACACCAGAGAGTATGTCACAACGGAGTGTCGGTGGCCAGCATTTCTGGGGTGATGGCATTGAGACACCCCTCAGACTAGCAGCAGGAACAGGAAGTTGGGGAGTGGAGTAACGACCCTCAATCCTGAATTCCACTCTACCTGACTGTCATGATTTTGTCCAGGGTTTTGAAGGACCTGAGTTACCTTCTACTTCGGATGCTGTTGTGTAAATTTACAAGACACAACCATTATTTAGATAATGCATTGTGATAATATGATAGGCTTCAGGAAATCTGTGGGAAACTGAGTGCAAAGGTGCTGGACTTTCCCACCAACTTCAGAAGCCCCCTTGTATGGACCCACACCCGCTGCTGTCAAGCAGATTCCAATGCACGGCGGCCCTGATGGATAAGCAGAGCAGCTCAGAGAGCTTCCAAGTCTGTCATCTTCACGGGAGAAGACTACCAGATTTCTTCCCACAGAACAGCTGGGTGGTTTGAACTGCCAACCTTCCAGTTAGTAGCCTGATCCTTAACCCACTGCATAATATGTACAATGTGGTATGATAAGAGGAGCATGGTGGCACTGTAGGATAAGCACTGGATGCTAACCGCATTGGCAGTTCACACCCACCAGCTGCTCCATGGGAAAAAGATGAGGCTTTCTGGCCCCCTGTAAAGATTTATAGACTTGGAAACCCTAATACTGTATTACTGTGAGTCAGAATCGACCTGGTGGCTGTGGCATGGGTATGGCATGATATATGACAATAATCAGAAGATGTAGAAGTAAAAGAAGAAAGAGAAACAGAAACAAATAAAAAGTGTGCTGAGAGATATGGGATGACCAAGGAAAGTTTGATCCTTGGAGATAAAAGAGCTCCCGTCCAATGAACTCACTCTACAACACTCAGGAATCAAGGGTATAAAACAACAACAACAAATTTAGGCCAAGCAGAAACAGTCTGCTTCCCAGAGTCCCCTCTGTGACAACACAAACCTGATCAAGTCGTGTAAACAGTGCCGTGGAACTCGCAGTCGCAATAGCGCTGTATCTGCAGCGTGCATTTCTCCTTGCTCATGCCAGGTCAACCCACATTGCCACTACACTGTGCCAAACACGGCATCTCTTACACTTTCGCAGAAAAAGCCAGTGGGCCCTGGGACACCCAAGTTTCTAAGAAGTGTCTTGGGAGGTAACAGTTGCACAAGTCATCTTACAAGGAGTTGGAATGCAAAACTCACTTAGAGAAATACATTTTTTGGAGGGGAGATGTTTACAGTGGATTGAAACAGTGTCATTTACAGTCTTGCTGAGATTACTACCTTTAGAAAACTGAACGTGGCCAAACATTACTCAGTGGAAGCATGCGAGGGGCCTAGGAGAGCAAGCATTTGGGTGTGTACCTGGGAGAGAGCTAAATTCCCCACTCAGTCCCCCTCAGTGCGCTGACAACTGTGTCTCCCGACGACAAAAAGCTCAGGCTGGGCTTGTCCACTAGCGGGAAACAATATACTTCATCAGTGCTATCGTCTAATGCTTACCAAGTGGAATGCTTTACTATCTGGCTTAACTTTATGTTTCTCCATGTACTTGATAAGGCTGCAGTTGGTATACCTGAAAAAGATACACTATGAAACATCTGGATTAGATGTGAGGTGAATTTTACATTGACCGAAGTGCTTCCAAACAGAACTGTTTTGATCATAAATGATATAAAATACACACTGAGAACGGTGAGTAGCAAAAAAAATGACTCACTAACTAACATACATCAATTTCGTACTTCATTAACATCCACAATCGCTTCTAAACGGACAGTGCGATTCAACGTAAGACGCCTTTGATGAAAAGCAGCTATTGAACAGTGGTTATTTTCCCTCACAGTGAAGGCCCACAGCTGACTTCAGTCTTACCAGGAAGTTTAAAGGGCAGTGATTCCAGGCCTAGGAGCACCCCCTCCTAATGCCCTGCTGTTGCATTAGAAACTGGTGAAATCTTTCTCCCCTATCACTTGCTTACAGTTACAACACAATCTTCATAACAAAGGCTACTTCCTTTTAGTTTCTTTCTTCAGCTCCGTTATTTCACACAGAAGTCAGCTTCCAGAAGTAGTACGAGGAGCTGGAGACTGTCATAGTGTAAAATACTTATTAAGAGTAAATAAAGAAACTTACTTATTAGAATAATCTGATAGTATTCTATTTGGGATGCTAGAAAAAAAATAATTAAAAAAAAAAAAAAACCTACTTTCTTTCAAACTTACGTATTTCTTCTGAAATCTTTCATTAATGTTGAATGTTCGGGCATCTTTTTTATGTCTTCCCAATCTTTATCTGCGAAATACATGGATAAGTTTTGATGTTGTCTAGGTGCCTGTTCTTAAGAATTTGAATAAAATTTACCTTAACTTCTCACTGCATTGCATATACTCTATAACCCTCCTGAAAATTTAGCTCAAATAAAGCTCAAGTCACAGTAGACACCTTATCTTCAGCTCCAAGTCTAATTCCGCGTCCCCAGCTTTGGATACACTCCTGGTCTTTTCAAGTTTAACTGTCTACTCTATACATTTTACTGCAAATGGCCTCATTTTCTACAACTGGGGGGGGGGGCAGGTGGAGTTACAAATGAGTAACTTATAAATAAGTATTTCTAAAATCACGCTTCGCTACTGAATTTCCCGGCTGAATCAGAACTCAATCTAGTCAATCTTTCCCTTCAGTCTCTTGAAGACAAACTTCTTTTCATGATCTGGTCCTCCTTACTGTCACCATAGGAAGTCCCGTCAGCTATAGCAGTCAGTGTGAGCACCAGAACGTTCTGAAGGAAAACGGGATGACCTATATAACTGGGATATCCATAAATCAGCTGGGGCCTTGGTAAGCTTCAAGAACATTGCTCTAAACAACCCCAACCACTAACCAGTGAGGGTACAGACTGCTTCCCTGAGTGTGGCAGGAATGAGAAGCATTCTGTTGTCCATCTGCCAGCAGGTTCTCACAGAGCTAACTTGACAGCTCCTGGAGGCTGTGCAATGGCATGCAGAGGTCTGCTTTTCACTGAGCTAGCCTCCACAGGTGTCGTGTGGTAAAGCCAGCAGGGCACTCCTCTGTGAGACTTTCTCCTTCAGCATGCGTCCATCTGTCCATTCCACCAGCTGGAAATCTTAGGATCATCTTTTACTCTTCCCTGAATGACACATTTCCTATAAAGGTGTTGACACGTCTCACATTCTCCGTCCTGAGAACCCGTGTACCTTATTACTGTTGGGCAAGTGGCTGGTTCCCCTGACTTGGTTAATTTCCTCTGTACTTAGAGTGGCTTACCACCGCCACACGAATTTTCACGTTACTAGTACCCGAGGACTTTGGGGTGGACTCTCACTCTTTCACACAATCCAATGTAAGTCCTGCCACTTCATTTTCAAGGTCGCTCATACACTGGCTGAGCCCACACAGCTGCTGGGCCTCCTCGCAGCCCATAAGCCACGTTCCTTGGGGGCCTCAGAAATGGTGGGCGCACTCAGAGGTGAAAGAGAAGGCCCTCCTCTTAGATTCTCAAGTCATCCACTCTCTAGAGACCACTTCCAGCAGGGGAGCAGGACTCGGGGCTGAAGGCTCAGGTCCTGTACACCAAACTCAGAGCTGACCAGGGCTGCTACGCAAGTACTCAATGGACGAAGGGCATTCCCAGTGCAACAGAGCAGTCGCCCCCAAACTGCTGGCCAGTTTTGAAGAAAGGTAATAGTATCTCTGGATGGTTATTCTGAATTTACTCATCACTAACCCACCCCCCACCAAGGGAATGTCGAATTAGAACTCGTGAAGATTTCTGGGGATTCTTGACTAGCAGTGACTTGGGAAATATTCCTTGTAAGAAACAATTTCTAATAGGTACCCGATTGGCCAAAATTATGTAGGTGAAAGATGTTCAACATTTATATTCCAATGCCAAATAATGGCAGTATTATATGTGCTCCCAGAAAAAAAATTCATAGCTCCTAAATTTTATCTACAGTTTCTACTGGTAAGAAAAAAACAAAAGGTGCCCTTTAAACACCTATATTGAAAATATTTTATAATTTCAAATACTAGACAACAAAACAAAAAATCAAAACAAACGAAAGCTATATACTCCTTAAATTCATGAAACCCATAGATAGTTTTCTGTTATTATGTGGACTCCACAAATTGTATTTCTTCTATGGATCCTTGATTAACACAAGTTATACAAATAAAGAACAGAATCAGAAATGCTTTCATCAGCTACAGACAGACAGCTTTCCAATGATAAGCTTGAACTTCAAACATCAGTGATTTAAAAAATAAAACCAAAAGCAAACAGAACGTGTACCTGCAGGGAATCCCATAACATTGAATATCCTGTCCAGCTGGTCATGGTGATAAGGGTTACTAGTTTTGATGTCCTCTTGCCGACAGTGAAATATTGGTTCTGACGTTAGTAGTTCTGCAAATATACACCCTATAGCCCAAATATCTTTAAAAGAAAAAAAAAAAAAAAAAAGAAAGAAAAGAAAAAAAAAAGGAGGGCGGGGGAGGAAAAAGAAAAAAGAAAGGAGGAAAATAAAGTGGTTCTTTCCAAAAGAAAATGCATTGTCATTTTGGCGGGGAGTGTTTTTTTGCTTTCTCTTCCTTTTCTCCCTAAAACGTCACATGAACTTCTATGCACCCATAATTACATTGATAGTATTTCTAAACATATGCCCCCCACCCCCAGTTTTCATTCCTTGTTTGACCCCAACCCCACCCAGTGGCATCATTCTGTGTCTACATCAACCGTCTGCACTGAGGTTTTGGGTACTTTACAAATGCCCCAAATACCACCACACAAAACTGCATGTGAACACTGGAGCCACAAACCCAACAAAACAAAAAAGAAACAAAAGAAAAACCTCAATCCGCCTTTGAAATCAGTCATACTTGCCAAAACCAATCAGGGTCAATCTTGGGATAAAATTAATGTCTTCTCTATATTTTTCTACATCTGTTTCGTTGATTGACAATGTGTAAACTGGAGGATCACCCCCATGTTCCCACTAGTTATACAGGGTGGTGGGGGTAGAGTGTGTGTGTGGGGGGGGAGGTGGATACTCCAACTAGAAAAGCACAATGTGTCACCTCATCGCTTCTGGTGATGAGACGTATCAGCACTTCTACTCTTGAGAGTTTTTCTTTCAAAGTGTTTTGTTTTCCATGCTATAGCAACATCAGACATTGTCAATTGTCAGTATTTAAGAAAAGTTAAAAAAATGGGGCAGGAGGGGGAGGAACAATAGTCCTTTGAGATGGGCCCAGAAGGCTGCAAGTTCCTGGGAAGGGTTGGTGAAAGCTAGGCCAAGCCACTTCCATGCTCCACAGCTGCCTCATGTTCACATACAGGCTTACTTTCATATTCAAGGTTGACTCAATATAACTAATAGTAAAGACCGATGTATCAATTTAGCTAGAAATACTCCTTTTCTACACTTAACAACTCCCTGAAATGACAAAGTGAGTTCCCTGGACTAAGGACCAATGGATGTCTATAGCAGATACTCCACAAGGAAGAGCTGTGATGGAGTTAACCAACACCTAAGGGCAAATATACTTCTTGCTGTTGGTGCTAAGTACATCGAGTCAGTTCTGACTCACAGCGACCCTGGAGAGGGTTTCCCAGGAGCAGTTGGTGGGGTCTGAACACCCGACCTTGTGGTTTACAGTCCAGTGCTGATCCTATAATGCTACACCAGAAGTGCTATAAAGCCTTGTTGTTGTTGTTGTTAAGTGCCGTCGACTCAGTTCCAACCCATAGCAACCCTATAAAGGGCTTCCAAGGAGAGACTGGTGGGCTTAAACCTCTGACCTTGTACTTCAAATGGCTTTGCAGTCTGGCGCATTAACCCACAGTGCCACACCAGGGTAGGGGCACAAATCAAAATCACCATTTTATTAAAACTGAGCATTCTGGTATGTTAGTGACTATCACTTAAATACAAAATGAGGGGAAAAAATAAATAATTGAGAATTTCTGAACTCCAATTGAATACAGAACGCAGTGCACAATGGTCACGCTGACACTTTCAAAGCAACAAGCGAATCACTGGTGAACTTACAGGTGACACACCTTGATGACTGGCAGATGGCTGGTTTTACAACAAGACACCATGCTTGCATCTCCATTTTATGCCGTATTATGGACCAGTCTAGCCCCAACACTACATGGGAAAGCCTCACCAAGCAACCTAGGGAAAACTCACTGTTGGTTTTTGTTTGTTTTTTTAAACTGAGAATTATGTGATTGTTTACATGGGAGAACATTAGCTTTACATTCATCCTATCCTGTATCATTTCATTGCCATGGTTACAATCCCCTACATGCATCATCAACCAACCAAAGGGTTGCCCCCACCCCCCACCCCCTCCGGTCGTCAGCACACAGCCCCTCTCCCTCTCTGGGTCTAAAGTCCCCAGCCGCTCCATCTCTGGCGTAACTACTTCTGAGTAGGGTCCCGCACTCCGCTCTTCTCCCTTCAAGGTCCTAGGGACCTCAGTCACTCCCCTCCTTTTGCTACAAAACATCTACCTTTACATTGCCAACTTTCACAGTCAGTCCTGAAAACAATTATTCACTATTGTATCACAAGAGACCTATCCGCATATCCTTTCATCAGCCCCATCCAGACAGATTGGACACTACTCAGTGGAGAGTCTACCTTCCTCCACACCCTCTGGATCTAGGCTCCCTCTTGAAAGAAAGCCTGTAAGCCAGTCACTTCTTGCCTTTGTACCCTTCCCCCTCCTCCATTTTGGGTGGTCAATGTCCAAATTGCCCATCCCTGTCTACTCTATGTGTGGAGGGGGTGAGAATGATCCTCGCTGTAAAGATTTGTTCCCTCTTTTGAGCTACTGCTTCCATAGGTGTAGGTCAAGTTCATCAAATTGTATCAGATTACTCTTTTTTCCTCTTCTTTCTTCTTCTAGTTGAGCTCTGATCATCCAGTCATTGAAGCCAGGTCAAGTGGGTATTATCTGCAAGTGTGGGTGTTCTTGTGTATATCCCCTCACTTCTTATCAGCTGCACACTTCACTCTCCACTCTAGTCCTCTGTGGTTTTGTCACTGACTCTGGCCCCAGGATTCCCCAGGTCTTGCCACACTGCTGGCCAACCAGGTCTCCACCCGGGTTCACAGGAGTCTATTGAACCTTGTAGGGCTTAGCTCACAGCTTCATTGCTGTTTTTCCCTCACTTCCCCTTATCGGTGACAAACATGGTCACCATCTCAGAGTGCATGTCTGCTTGTGTATTCCCATTGAGTCTTAGTCTTGGAAGGGGGTTTGCCCTGAGGGGACCCGACCACTTGCCTTGATATCTCTTGGGTGAGCAACTTGCTTGTTCTTGTACTAATCTGTCGGACTGCCGTTACTGTCCTGTATTTTTCCTGTGGGTCTTTCTTTCAAGAAGTATCTTCTGTTCTTCTAGCTGCTTCAGGCTGGTCTGCTTGTCCTTTCAAGTGGAAATTTCCCACCTCAGAAGATTCTGGATGGGACTCAGGATTCTACCTATGTTCTTAATGTAATGCAGAGGCTCCACAGGAAGCCTCTTGACTGGGCACATTGTAGCCCCATTTTAGGTATTCCAATCAGTTACAGGCAGAAGATGGGACTTACAAGCTTTCTATGGTGATATTTCTGGCTATTCCCTTCTCTCCCTCTCAAGTGTCTATCTTATAATGGTATGCCAGGGAAACTAAGATTCAAAAGACAGCCAAACATCATAACATTATTTCCTCCATTTTGCCCATTCCAACCATGTCTCAATTCCTGTATCCCAGAGCACTGTTGTTCCAAGGTTGTGGATACATCATTATTTACCTCTGTCCCACTTAGCCCATGGAAACCTGTCTAATTGTTTTCCAATCCGCCTTGTTCGTCCATTCCCGTCCCCCTTCTTATATATTGCCTGCCTCCCTAGCACCCAAACTATCCAGTGTCTATTCCCTACCCTGTGTTCCACCTTCCCCTCCCTCACCTCACCTCACCCCCACATTCAGTAACCAGCAAAGAATTCTCTCTCACCTTTAGTATGGGTTCTTTTTCTTAGTCTTTTACAGTAGTAGTCCTATGCAGTATTTCTCCTTTTGTGACTGACTAATTTCACTCAACATAAAGTCCTCAAGGTTCATCCATGGTATGTGGTGGCTTACTGCTTCCTTGTTATTCTTCAATTTACCATAATATTCCATTGTGTGTATGCACCACAGTTTGTTTATCCATTCTTCAGCTGATGGGCACTTTGGCTGTCTCCATCTTTTTGCTATTGTAAATAGTGCTGCTAAGAACATTGGTGTGCATATATCTACTCGTGTTATGGCTCGTATTTCTTGTGAGTAAATACCAAGTAGAGGAATTGCTGGGTTTTGCCTTAAAGTTTATTTTATCAGATATTAGCACTGCCACTCCTGTTCATTTCTTATTGCAATTAGCCTGGTATTTTTATTTTTTTCCATCCTTTGACTTTTAATCTATTTTTGTCTGTGTGTGTGAGATATGTCTCTTGCAGACAGCATATTGAAGGATCTTGTTTTCTTATCCATTCTGCCATCCTCCATCTCTTAACAGGTGCATTTAATCCATTTACATTCAGTGTAATTATCGATAAGTATTGATTAATTGCTGCCATTATGTTTGTTTTTTTGTGGTGTTGCTGCTTTCTTTGTTCTGTGTGTCTTCCTTTGTTGAGTTCATGCTTTTTGTGTTCTTTCTTGTGAGTTTCCTCATAGTTTTAATGTTTCCATGTTCTTCTTGGATTTTAATTTCCTTGGTATGTTGTGAAGTGTTAATTTTCTTTGAGGTTACAGTATAGTGTATTATCTTTTCCCTTCATTTAGTGCAGTCTGTTTTATCCTGTAATCTAACCGACCTTCTCACCATCTGGATTTCTATTCCTACGTGTTTACCTTCTTTTACATTGTAATTGTTTTGATCACAGGCTGACCTCCCAGATTCTCTGAGTTTGTTCTTATAGTTTTGTTCTGTTCTCAACTCTTCCTTCTGTCGATTTAGTTCTGGGAGGTGCTGCCAAGTATGTCAGTCTCTAGTTGTTGTCTCTTCTTGGTGGTTCTCAGTTCACAGAACTCCCTTTAGGATGTTTCGTAGCACAGGGTTGGCTTTGGAAAAATCCCTTAGCTTCTGTTTATCCTGGAATGTTTTGATTACACCGTTGTATTTGATTGATAGCTTGGCTGGATAAAGGTTTCTTTGTTGACAGTTTTTTATTTCAGGGTTTCCTTCTTGCTTGCATAGTTTCTGCTGAGAGATCTGAAAGTTGATGGTTTTAAATATGCTCTTTACATTTGATAATCAAATAGGCAAGGTAAGTAGGAACACAAAAATAGTTGATGGGTCACTGTCACATTTAAAACTTGTGGTATCCAAAACCCACTGTGACAGATTATTCTGTTTTGTTATGAAAACTTCCAAGGAAATAAAACACAAAGG